GTTGTATAATGATAACTTTACCTCATGTCTCTAATGTTTTGTATACTTACCTATATACCTTATAATGTATCTACTGTGGTGTATACTTACAATGTACCACATTATGGATCTATTGTGTTGTATAATGATAACTTTACCTTATGTCTCTAATGTGTTGTATACTTACCTATATACCTTATAATGTATCTACTGTGGTGTATACTTACAATGGACCACATTATGGATCTATTGTGTTGTATAATGATAAATTTACCTCATGTTTCTACTGTGTTGTATACTTACCTATATACCTTATAATGTATCTACTGTGGTGTATACTTACATATAAACCTCATACTCTATCTACTGTGTTGCATACTTACAATATACCCCATTATGAATCTATTGTGTTGCATAATGACAACTTTACCTCATGTCTCCACTGTGTTGAATACTTTCATACATATCTCATAACGTATCCACTGTATTGAATACTTACATACATATCTCATAATGTGTCTACGGTGTGGAATACTTACATACCACATCGTGTATATGCTGTGTTGAATACTTAAATAAAAACCTCATACTGTCTCTACCATGTTGTATACTTACAATGTACCACATAATATATCTACTGTGTTGCATACTTACAATATATCACATTGTGGATCTATTGTGTTGTCAATCTCATTAAATTCTTATCTAAGTTCTCGCTATCGCTAAACAAAGATCTGAGGACATCCAATCAAGGGTCACGTCAGAACGACCTTTCATCCAACCAATCAGAGCGTCGCTTACCAGATCATGAAAGTAACAATCGGAATGTGTTTTCTAATCATACAACCACGAAATATTTAACACGGGGTATTCGGAACGACAGTTACGGGTTTTATGATAACATCCATACAATCTAGGCCATCTATAAGCCATTCCAGAATGTTCTTCTTATCAGTTTTAATTTTTTTAATCGAGAATACGTCAAAATATGTTTCAGAGCGTTGTCGCCAGTTTGAAACTATTGTTGTAAAGCTCGAGAAAGCTGCCTTCTGATTGGCTAATGTTGATTTCTTGTCAGTCACTTCATTGGTCGGTCAAAATTCGCGAAAGGCCGTTCTGACGTGACCCGTAATGGGATGTCCTCAGATCTTTGTTTAGCGGCAGCGAGAACTTAGATCTGATTTTAGTTAGATTGTTGTGTTGTATAATGACAACTTTACCTCGTGTCTCCACTGTGTTGAATACTTACATCTCATAATGTCTCTACAATGTTGCATACTTACAATATACCACGTTATGGATCTACTGTGTTGTATAATGACAAGTTTACCTCATGTATCTACGTACTGTGTTGTATACTTACATATATGTATATACCACATAGTGTCTATACTGTGTTGAATACTTAAACACAAACCTCATACTGTCTCTACCATGTTGTATATTTACGATGTACCACATCATCTGTCTACTGTGTTGCATACTTACAATATGCCACATTATGGATCTATTGTGTTGTATAATACCAATTTTACCTCATGTCTCTAAGTACTATGTTACATACATATCCCATAATATCTCTACCATGTTGCATACTTACAATATACCACATTATGGATCTATTGTGCTGCATAATGACAACTTTACCTCATGTCTCTACTGTGTTGTATACTTACATGTACATGTACCATGCCGCAGTTTAACATGAATACCCCACTCAGACACAGTATACTGACTCCGAGACGGCCAGTCCTTGTTTTAGCCCCTTAATGCTGAGCGCCAGACAGGGTAACAACAAGTACCATCTTGTAACGCCTTTTGGTATGACCCCGCCTGGGATCGAACCCACGACCTTCCGCCCTCCGGACAGACGCGCTACAACTAGTCCACGGAGGCGGTCTACCAATGTGAGGAATGGAACCGGTCTTAGGCTTGCCGCGCGAATGCTTTATCCCATAGTTACCCACCCTCCCCCTGCAAGTTAAAGTGCTTACTTGTAGGGATCCCTATCAAATCAAATAAAGAAGTTTGTATCAATCAGGTTATTTCTGAAAATGTGCTTTAATGAAATCCGTAACACGTGATAATAAAATCTACTAATATGACATGCACGCCAATAAGGAAAAGCATGAAAACTTTTCTAACAATACTGACTGAATATTGCAGCGATAGCTTGTGGACAATGGACGTTGAAACATGGATAATGATCAAGAATGATCAACTTCTAATAATATCATTGGTAAAACATTGTGTGTCCGATGTTTTACACGATGTTGATTTCCATTGTCTGGCTGATGTCCCATGGACGGAGCAAGGCTTGTTACTCGAGGAGAGCACGTTCGACTTGTCCACCAAGAGCGTCGTTGCATAACACTGTCAGATAGGCCGGGAGGTTGGTGACGTCTCCCCATTGTTTCAAGGCGCTTGCGACTTGGCTATATGTTTGAGCTTCACGAGAATACATCAACCTACACGCTTTCAGTTGCTTGTCACTGAACACCCCAATAGTCCCTAGGCACGTGCTTGCTGGTTTGACTGTGGCTAAGGGAGCAACCATCTTATTGTCGGGGGAGGGGGGGGGGGGGGGGGGGGGGGGGGATATTTTCTAAAATGAGACTCAATCCCCTGTTTTACTTAAAACAGTTATGTGCCTTTTTCTTACAGAATGTGGGTATTGTAATATCGAGGAGGCAAATGTCTGTGTAAAGTGAACTAAGCTCAAACCCAAACCAAGCTCCTCAACCGGCGCCAATGAATGTGAGTAAACACAATAGTTTTGGTTTGATATGTCTGCTTCAACCCATTCAACCCGTTCTACTAGTTCTATACATGCCTACTAGTTCTATCTACATGCCAACTCCGACTTACTCCCATGTGTTGTATGCTAGTTCTAAATATTAGTCTGTGATATTCTAGTTATTTACTTATGTCCATCAATGACAGGTGTTTATTTATTCTAAATATATCTATTTAAAATGTACAACTTCTCTTCACAATATGGCTGAAATATATATACAATGTAGGTGAAGCATTATAACTGCAATAGGCTGACATCTTACAGTTGTTGTGTCGCAGCTTGTCGAGGCCGAGCTGATCCAGCTCCGCGAGGAGAACCGGCGACTGAGGTAGGAGAATCGGCAGGTGAAGGAGGAAAACCGGCAGATGAAGGAGGAGAATCGGCAGGTGAAGGAGGAAAACCGGCAGGTGAAGGAAGAGAATCGGCAGATGAAGGAGGAAAACCGGCAGATGAAGGAGGAAAACCGGCAGATGAAGGAGGAGAATCGGCAGGTGTAGGAGGAAAACCGGCAGATGAAGGAGGAAAACCGGCAGATGAAGGAACAAAACCGGCAGGTGAAGGAACAAAACCGGCAGGTGAAGGAAGAGAATCGGCAGGTGAAGGAGGAAAACCGGCAGATGAAGGAGGAGAATCGGCAGATGAAGGAGGAGAATCGGCAGGTGTAGGAGGAAAACCGGCAGATGAAGGAGGAAAACCGGCAGATGAAGGAACAAAACCGGCAGGTGAAGGAACAAAACCGGCAGGTGAAGGAAGAGAATCGGCAGATGAAGGAGGAGAATCGGCAGGTGAAGGAGGAGAATCGGCAGGTGAAGGAGGAGAATCGGCAGGTGAAGGAAGAGAATCGGCAGGTGAAGGAGGAGAATCGGCAGGTGTAGGAGGAAAACCGGCAGGTGAAGGAAGAGAATCGGCAGGTGAAGGAGGAAAAACCGGCAGGTGAAGGAGGAAAACCGGGAGGTGAAGGAGGAAAACCGGCAGGTGAAGGAGGAAAACCGGCAGGTGAAGGAAGAGAATCGGCAGGCGAAGGAGGAGAATCGGCAGGTGTAGGAGGAAAACCGGAAGGTGAAGGAAGAGAATCGGCAGGTGAAGGAGGAAAACCGGCAGGTGTAGGAGGAAAACCGGCAGGTGAAGGAGGAGAATCGGCAGGTGAAGGAGGAAAACCGGCAGGTGAAGGAGGAAAACCGGCAGGTGAAGGAGGAGAATCGGAGGTGAAGGAGGAAAACAGGCAGGTGAAGGAGGAGAATCGGCAGGTGAAGGAAGAGAATCGGCAGGTGAAGGAGGAGAATCGGCAGGTGTAGGAAGAGAATCGGCAGGTGAAGGAGGAGAATCGGCAGGTGTAGGAGGAAAACCGGCAGGTGAAGGAGGAAAACCGGCAGGTGAAGGAGGAGAATCGGCAGGTGAAGGAGGAAAACCGGCAGGTGAAGGAGGAAAACCGGCAGGTGAAGGAGGAAAACCGGCAGGTGAAGGAGGAGAATCGGCAGGTGAAGGAGGAAAACCGGCAGGTATAGGAGGATAACCGGCAGGTGAAGGAGGAGAATCGGCAGGTGAAGGAGGAGAATCGGCAGGTGAAGGAAGAGAATCGGCAGGTGAAGGAGGAGAATCGGAAGGTGTAGGAGGAAAACCGGCAGGTGAAGGAAGAGAATCGGCAGGTGAAGGAGGAAAACCGGCAGGTGAAGGAGGAGAATCGGCAGGTGAAGGAGGAGAATCGGCAGGTGAAGGAGGAGAATCGGCAGGTGAAGGAAGAGAATCGGCAGGTGAAGGAAGAGAATCGGCAGGTGAAGGAGGAAAACCGGCAGGTGAAGGAAGAGAATCGGCAGGTAAAAAGGGGGAAAACTGGCAGATGAAGGAGGAAAACCGGCAGATGAAGGAGGAAAACCGGCAGATGAAGGAGAACAGGCGGCTTAAGGCAAATGTAAGTCAGATACAAGAATGAATTCAGGTTTAACACCAATGTGAAGGAGGAAAACCGGCAGGTGAAGGAAGAGAATCGGCAGGTGAAGGAGGAAAACCGGCAGGTGAAGGAGGAGAATCGGCAGGTGAAGGAGGAGAATCGGCAGGTGAAGGAAGAGAATCGGCAGGTGAAGGAGGAGAATCGGCAGGTGAAGGAAGAAAACCGGCAGGTGAAGGAAGAGAATCGGCAGGTGAAGGAAGAGAATCGGCAGGTGAAGGAGGAAAACCGGCAGGTGAAGGAAGAGAATCGGCAGGTAAAAAGGGGGGAAACCGGCAGATGAAGGAAGAAAACCGGCAGGTGAAAGAGGAAAACCGGCAGGTGAAGGAGGAAAACCGGCAGGTGAAGGAAGAGAATCGGCAGGTGAAGGAGGAAAACCGGCAGATGAAGGAGGAAAACCGGCAGATGAAGGAGGAAAACCGGCAGATGAAGGAGGAAAACCGGCAGATGAAGGAGAACAGGCGGCTAAAGGCAAATGTAAGTCAGATACAAGAATGAATTCAGGTTTAACACCAATGTGAACAGCATAATAGTCTTGTGGTGGCGCGACACCTTGATGTTGACACAGGCCATACCTACAGTGTTGGTGATACGTCTTCTGTCTGCACAATGCCGTAATCGAGTCTCTGAACTGCGAGATATTCTCTTCGACTATTTATATAACTACTAGATAAATTGTAATCAGTTCTTGGAACTTTAAAATTACGAAAATGAGAGATGTGCACATGAATTCGTATTCCAGTCTACATGTACTTATGAAATGAGCTAAGGAAAAATGAAGGGTTTGACATTCAGTTAATAACTCACATTGGTGACTAAGCGTTATTTTATTGTCTGGGTTATAGCTAGTTATTGTAGTAACACGTCCCATTTTAATTCTGGAAACCCAAAAGTCCAGAAACTCTACGCTCTTTGCCCAGTCTCGGTTAAAGGTATTTACAAAATTAAACATGCCGTTTTCATGGGAACATACCAAGGAAGAAAAAATGAAAAAAAAATTGTTTAAAAACTTAATATTTAGACTATGTCGCCCATGGGCCTGCCCATGGGCGAAGTTTGGCCCATGGGCCTGCCCATGGGCGAAGTCTGGCCCATGGGTAGGCCCATGGGCAGGCCCATGGGCGAGAATATGTTCCTTTACTTAAAACTCATGTTTTTGTTTCGCAAATACATTTAATGTATTCATTCAAGTATCATGACACAAAATGTAATTCATTTTAACTTAATTCAACGATTTTATAACGATATTGAAATATTTCGCCCATGGGCGAGAAAAAGGTTTGGCCCATGGGCGAGAATATGTTCCTTTACTTAAAACTCATGATTTTGTTTCGCAAATACATTAAATGTATTTATTGAAGTATCATGACACAAAATTTAACTCATTTTAACTTATTTCAACTATTTTATAGCGATATTGAAATATTTCGCCCATGGGCGAGAAAAAGGTTTGGCCCATGGGCGAGTATATGTTCCTTTACTTAAAACTCATGATTTTGTTTCGCAAATACATGAAATGTATTCATTGAAGTATCATGACACAAAATTAAACTCATTTTAACTTAATTCAACGATTTTATAGCGATATTGAAATATTTCGCCCATGGGCGAGAAAAAGGTTTGGCCCATGGGTAGGCCCATGGGCAGGCCCATGGGCGAGAATATGTTCCTTTACTTAAAACTCATGTTTTTGTTTCGCAAATACATTTAATGTATTCATTCAAGTATCATGACACAAAATTTAACTCATTTTAACTTAATTCAACGATTTTATAGCGATATTGAAATATTTCGCCCATGGGCGAGAAAAAGGGTTTGGCCCATGGGCGAGTATATGTTCCTTTACTCAAAACTCATGGTTTTTTTTCGCAAATACATTAAATGTATTTATTCAAGTATCATGACACAAAATTTAACCAATTTTTACTTAATTCAACTATTTTACGGCGTTATTGAAATATTTCGTCCATGTTTACGTCAGTCCCTTTCAAGCATCAACTAACTGTTTGCAAAGTATATTGTATCATGTGAAATATACTTTATATTATATCATTACATTACTATTTAAAAAGGGCATTTGGTTGGATGTTTCCTTTAGTTCTACAAATTTCACCTGTTTTACATATTGTAGCGATCTTTAATGAACCCGGCCTTACCTCTCAAAACGTTTTGACAGTTTATCATACGAATTCATGTGCGTGTACTCCAATTCATTGGAGTTATTTTCCACAACATTAAATTTTAGTTAGTTTCTAATTCATTTCCCATTTAATGTCCCGTTGATACATCACACTGGGCAATTACGTGACACCAGGTATGCAATATACAGGTACGCGTGCGCGTATTTTAATGAAAAAAACTATTCGTCTTTTATTGCATAACGTTTGGCTGAATATCTTACATTCTAACGAAATCTCGAAATAATTATTTAATTACATGCGGTTTCGAACTGACCAGTGGGAATTATGTTTCAATGCGATTGAGGAAAACGTGAGTGAATATTGTGACACTAAAGCAACTTTTAACTGCATTGTCACTTTTGGTATGAAAATGGTAACAGTTCAGAAAAAACAACAGCCTCCTTATGATAATTCTCATTAGTACGTTGTATCTAATTACAGTGTCGGCCTTATTTACAGGTGATTCTACAATACCTGCTCTCGGTCAATTACGATCTACCACACCACGCGTGAATAAACAGTTATGCAGGTGTTGCTGTGGGCAAATACCTAGCCTATATGTTTATTTTTTTTAGGATACATGTTTTACAAATGTTCGTTGATATGTGGATATATTAAGCACAAAGACAAAAAAATGTTTATGAAAGATGAATTAGTGCCTTGATATATTCATCGAGATGTGTATTATCGTTTAAGGGGGTCATTCAATAAACGTATGTTTGGAGGAGATATCAAAGGAGCCGCCCAATATACACAGTGTCGTCCGGTGAACTACCACCCCACCCTGTCCATTAGAGTTATGTAATCGGTACACAAATATATTTGATGCGGTGTCAGTGCGGAAGGAGTTTGAATTACGTCCGCCAGTTGTCACAGAAATCCTCAAAGTATAGAAACAATAAACAAGGTCAATCCGTACTAATTACCTAGTGACGCACGTAACAACGACTGTCAATAGGGAAAATGGTGAAAACAAATTGAAATAGATTTTAATAAAACATTACTGTACTACATAACTCGCAAAAGCGGTGCCTAAAATTTTTGACCGTGTTATGTGTGTTGTAAACTGACGAATAGCAAGTAATTGTCATGCTGTACGCATGGTTCCATATACAAATTCAGTTATACAACCGGTATGAAACTGAGAACTGAGATACCAAGTACAACCTGCATTCACACACGGAAGCAATATACTTGTGTGTATGCCCTCTCCTCTAAAAAATGTATCACTAAAGTATTTGCATTGTAATAAATATAGTAATGATAAAACTTGGTAATTTGGTAGGTCTCCGACAGATATGATTTTCAGTTTTTTTACACCTTTGATTGATACGGATTACGTACATGTAGTCTAGTCACTGTCTCTAATGTATCTGCTTGTTAGAAATTTCAAATGTCTTGTTATAGCACTGTTCCTAAAATACGGCAGTTTCTTTTATCGGGTATAAATAGTTGATTCGTCTTGTCACGCAGTCATTTTTTACTTGATCGAATGATTTCCACAAAAAATTACGGCAGAGAGTTTTGTATTTTATTATATTTTTAGAAGATTTTAGAAGATGCTTACATCACTGTATCTCAGAACGTAAAACTGATAACATTCAAACATGTAATTAGTACACAGTTAATTGTTACATATAATTTCCTGCATATTCCTTTTTGAACAAAAAGCCTACATGTATACTGATATCGGTGTCCACTGTTAAAAGGGTATTAGTGCAGTCAGCCATGGTAAATGGAGAGACAATAATAAGGTGATTAATTATAGTCTGTTGCAGAATATGCGGTATAAGTGTAGTCATTGATACATATACACATTACACATATACAGATGAAATACACGATATGATGCAGTGCAAGAACAAATTAAGATACGGTTTCTATTAAAAATAATTATACGATTTTGGATTTAATTAGCATGTTTAAATTTTCAGGCCAACACGGCTGAGATACAGCATCGGCATACTCAACTGGAGTTGTTTTCTGCCGGTCGTAAGTTCATTGTTTGACTGAGCACACTCGTGTCGGGGTTGCGATATTTTGAGAAAGGTCTCAGCATGGGACTGTTAATTACTTGTAGATGTTGGGTGCGGTTAGGACCAAACTTTTTCAGCTCAGAGTGTTAGTGGTCCTGGAACCCATAGTGTCAAACAGGTTCTGCACAAAACGTCCATCAGATTCTATTGTTCAGCAACATTGTCACTGAATTTCAGAACTCTGGCATGATATAATAATCAAGGATTTCGAAGGTGAACGAGAGGAAAGGCAGACGCACGTGGATTTACCCTCAGGTTATTATTGTCTGGAGTTCACATTTTGGGGCATTTCATATACTAATTGAACAGAGTTCACCTGCACATGTCCACTTTAGTGATACAGACTTTAACCAAAAATGCAATGAGCCGTAGCTCTTAATCCCTTATAACAACGGTAACAACAACCAGGGTGAGGACACAGTAAGGTTAAACCGTGTCCAACAGACAATCTGAGGTGGCTATCTCCCATCAAGTCAGCTCTGTTTTTAAGCGCATAGTTATGTTTTTACATATTGAAATAAAAGGAATGAAAAAAATTATATTTAACAAACCTACACATTACCAAATACAAAACTGTATAACCCTCTCTAGACTTCGTTCCAATTAACCTGGATCATTCAACTCGCTCGCGAAGGTCGTATGCGACTTTAAAGTGAATACGTCTACAGTGTACAAGTAACTTTTAACTGTATCATATATACTCATGATAAGCAATTATTTTCGTTCCTAATTCGAATGAGCATATTCTGAGGCTAAATCTGCAAAAGGACAGATAAAATATTTCTTTGTACAATGCAAACGATACAAACGTAGCGGCTGATAATAGAGACAATGATTTAATAATCTGCAATATATCAAGTGTTCTCGTTCAATCTATTGTACATATTGAAGTGATTGTAAAGTTTCAAGGAGTACTAAAATGTTGTGGTATTATGAATGTATTTAGAATATGAATAGCGAAAAACAGTCACTATATCGGATGTACATGTATAACTTGTCTTCCAACACCACGCTTGTGCCGAGGCCCATGGTCATAAAACTAATCGGTCCCATAAAAGGAGCAAATAGTTTCGCAGATACTTCTTGCTATGGTTCACTCACAATTGTCAGACGACCTAATCATCAGTCAGACCAGTCAAGTGTGACCAGCGTACCTGCCTGGTTTTGGCTCCTAATTACTGAACTGCCCAATACTTTCATACTGTGGGCAAAGTAAGCGGCCTCGTTGAGTGATACAGACTAACCAGATTATGATTGTGTTTGTAAGTGCGTTTAATCTGTGTCGGGTTGCAGTTGTTTTATTAGTCAAGACTACGGGTAGTTTTTTCAATGAAACCTTTTAGCCGTTGAGTTTGTTTTGCATTCATTTCATTAAATACATTGTTAGGTAGAATAATAACACGTTATACGGATAAAACATCTCCCTAATCTGAGTATAATCTCACATGTACTCTAAGTACCGTACTATATTACTTTGCGGAGACACTGAGTATAATTTTTTAGTTGGCATTGTATGCTGTCTGAATGACTTTACACAAATCCCTGCATTCAATAGACCCGTGAAGATCTTCAACAAACCATTCTTGGCGTAAAAGGGCGACAGCGCTTGTCCGTAAGAAGCGACTACCGGGATCGGGTGGTCAGGCTCGCTGACTTGGTTGATGCATGTCATCGTATCCCAATTGCGTGGATCGATGCACATGATGTCAATCACTGGATTGTCTGGTCCAGACTCGATTATTTACAGACCGCCGTCATACAGCTGAAATATTGCTAAGTGTGGCGTTATACAACTAACAAACAAACAAAACACAAAAAGAGAAAGTGTATGAGTACTAAAACTTGCAATAGATATGCCTACCCTACGTACACACATGTGTCCCATTCGACAGTCTACAACACACGAATAACTGTCAAACAAGTTTGGGTACCCTTTCTGTTCAGGCAAGTTATTTAGTTCGATAATTTTATATTAAAATCCTTTTCAATTTGTTTTCATCCTTTTTCCCTATTCCATGCATGTTTATGTTGCTACATCTTATTGCTCATGTTTCCAAGTATTGTAAAACACTTTAATGTTTCTCCTTCTAAATCTAACGTTATAATATTTCCGGTCATTGCCATCATCTAATACACAAGAGATGATACCAAGACATATTTTATTCGGTTTTATGGTCTATGCGGTCTTACAATTGATTTTATTAGTCTTTAAATCTTATGTCTAGTAAATATTTTCACAAACAGGGCTGATATATAACTGATATAAGGAATGTAACATCCAGTTGAGGACTGAATACGACGTACGTTAGTCTGGTAACGACATTTCTACAATTAATATTTTGAATAAGCCGTTAATACGCCAGTTGTGACAGGGATGATGGTATGGTAGATGTAGCAGACATATTGACAGCCGTTGTTACGCGAGTCACTAGGTTATTAGTACGGCATTGGCCTTGTTGATTGGTACTATACTTTCTGTGGCCACTGGCGGACGTAATTCAAACTCCTTCCACACTGACATCGCACCAAATATATTTGTGTACCGATTACATAACTCTTACTGACAGGGTAGGGTGGTAGTTCACGCGAAACGGACGACACTGCGTATATTGAGCGGCTCCTTTGATATCGCCTCACAACGTACTTTTAATGAATGACCAATTAAACGATGATACACATCAGGATCGCGGAGAAAATACAAGCTTCGTTCGCGTTGAATATATATATCAAGGCACAAATTCATCTTTCATAAACTTTTTGTGTCTTGGTGTTTAATATATCCACATATCAACGAAAATATGTAATACATGTATCCACAAAAATATACATGTACAGGCTAGGTATTTGCCCACAGCAACACCTGCATAACTGTTTATTCACGCGTGGTGTGGCAGATTGTAATTGACCGACAACAAGTATTGTAGAATCACCTGTAAATAAGGCCGACACTGTAATTAGACACAACGTACTAATGAGAATATGAGAATTATCATAAGAAGGCTGTTACGTTTTTCTTAACTATTACCATTTTCAAAAGTGACAATGCAGTTAAAAGTTGCTTTAGTGTCACAATATTCACTCACGTTTTCCTCAATCGCATTGAAACATAATTCCTACTGGTCAGTTCGACACTGCTTGTAAATAAATAATTATTTCGAGATTTCGTTAGAATATAAGATATTCAGCCAAACGTTATGCAATAAAAGACGAATAGTTTCTTTCCATTAAAATACGCGCACGCGTACCTGTCACGTAATTGCCCAGTGTGATGTATCAACGGGTCATAAAATGGGAAATGAAATAGAAACTAACTAAAATTTAATGTTGTACACGCACATGAATTCGTATGATAAACTGCCAAAACGTTTTGAGAGATAAGGCCGGGTTCATTAAAGATGTTGGGTGCGGTTAGGACCAAACTTTTTCAGCTCAGAGTGTTAGTGGTCCTGGAACCCATAGTGTCAAACAGGTTCTGCAAAATACGTCAATCAGATTCTACTGTTCAACAGCATTGTCACTGAATTTCAGAACTCTGGCATGATATAATAATCAAGGATTTCGAAGGCAAAACCTTTTCTCGCCAATGGGCGAAATATTTCAATAAATCTGTAAAATAGCTGAATTGAGTAAAATTGTGTTACATTATGTGCCATGAAAATAGTTAGAACTCCTGCATGTATTTACGAAACAAAAACATGAGTTTTAAGTAAAGGAACATATTCTCGCCCATGGGCCTGCCCATGGGCCAAACCTTTTTCTCGCCCATGGGCGAAATATTTCAAAAATCGTTATAAAATCGTTGAATTAAGTTAAAATGAGTTAAATTTTGTGTCATGATACTTCAATAAATACATTTAATGTATTTGCGAAACAAAATCATGAGTTTTAAGTACAGGAACATATTCTCGCCCATGGGCGAAATATTTCAATATCGCTATAAAATCGTTGAATTAAGTTAAAATGAGTTGAATTTTGTGTCATGATACTTCAATAAATACATTTAATGTATTTGCGAAACAAAATCATGAGTTTTAAGTACAGGAACATATTCTCGCCCATTGGCCAAACCTTTTTCTCGCCCATGGGCGAAATATTTCAATATCGCTATAAAATCGTTGAATTAAGTTAAAATGAGTTAAATATTGTGTCATGATACTTGAATGAATACATTAAATGTATTTGCGAAACAAAATCATGAGTTTTAAGTACAGGAACATATTCTCGCCCATGGGCGAAATATTTCAATATCGCTATAAAATCGTTGAATTAAGTTAAAATGAGTTGAATTTTGTGTCATGATACTTCAATAAATACATTTAATGTATTTGCGAAACAAAATCATGAGTTTTAAGTACAGGAACATATTCTCGCCCATTGGCCAAACCTTTTTCTCGCCCATGGGCGAAATATTTCAATATCGCTATAAAATCGTTGAATTAAGTTAAAATGAGTTAAATATTGTGTCATGATACTTGAATGAATACATTAAATGTATTTGCGAATCAAAAACATGAGTTTTAAGTAAAGGAACATATTCTCGCCCATGGGCCTGCCCATGGGCCTACCCATGGGCCAGACTTCGCCCATGGGCAGGCCCATGGGCCAGACTTCGCCCATGGGCAGGCCCATGGGCGACATAGTCTAAATATTGAGTTTTTAAACAATTTTTTTTTCATTTTTTCTTCCTTGGTATGTTCCCATGAAAACGGCATGTTTAATTTTGTAAATACCTTTAACCGAGACTGGGCAAAGAGCGTAGAGTTTCTGGACTTTTGGGTTTCCAGAATTAAAATGGGACGTGTTTAGTCATATATTGTTAAATATAAATCTCCCTTAAGAAACAAGGTATGTTCGGTCGGTAAGAGGCATGGAAAACATTTGTTTGGACCACCTGAGTTTGTCTGTATACATGCTTGTACAAACGTACATAATGTCAACTCTTACATTCCTTCTTAGGGCTTCTCGTCGACAGTAACGGAAGCAACAGCGACAGCAACGACGGCAACAGCGACAACAACGGCGATAGCTTCTACATCGGCAGCATCGGCAGCACCAACTTCAGCGGCACCAGTGACGGCAGTGACAGCAGTGACATTAGGCACTTTGGCGACACAGTCGGTTCCAACTGTGAGTATACTATGTAGTTAATTCTCATTGACAGTATAAGATTCATCTTTGTTGAATAACTCTCTTGCCATGTAGCCTAAGATGCCTGAATTAACTGTCCATGACATTGTCAAAGTGACCTCATTTTAGTGTTTAGCTTCACCATCGCTTTTTCTTCCTCCCCTCAGCATTTCAGTTAAACCTCGTATTCAACACTCCTGTGCATAACACAATGTTCCACAAAAACATCTCGTGATTCCGGGATCGAATGGCAACATATGCTGCTCGTAAGGGGCGACTTAGTGGATCGGGGGATCAGGCTAGATGACTTAATGGATCGGGGGATCAGGCTAGGTGACATGGTGTATCGGGTGATCAGGCTGGATGACTTAGTGGATCGGGGGATCATGCTAGATGACTTAATGGATCGGAGGATCAGGCTAGGTGACATGGTGTATCGGGTGATCAGGCTGGATGACTTAGTGGATCGGGTGATCAGGCTCGATGACTTAGTGGATCGGGTGATCAGGATCGGATCGCTGCTCACAATATCGATCACATTGTCATGATATTGTACATTGATCTGTTTGTTGTTTAACGCCACACTCAGCAATAGTCAAGCCACACGAGACCCTAGCATGGTGATCTACCTTCAGTTGTTGGCGATGTATAGACCTTTTTTATATTGTATTGTTACATATATTGATATCATTTTATGGTTGTATGCTAGTTTTATATTTTAATCGGTGATATTCTAGTTATCGTACTGTCCATAGATGCCAGTTTTTTAGATAGTCTAAATATATGTATTGATAATGTATAACTTCTCGTCACGATATGGCTGAAATATTGCCGATGTGACGTTAAATATTAACTCACTCACTCCAGCCATATGACGGCGGTCTGTAAATAATCGAGAGGCGTCTAACAGGATCGGGTTGTCAAGCCCACCTACTTGGTTAATGCATGTCTTTGTATACCAATTGAGTTGATCGATGCTCATGATGTCAATCACTGGACTGTCAATACTGTTTACAGATCGCCGTCACATAGCTGCAGTATATAGTACAGTTTATTGAGTTATTTATATAAATATCTATAATTACAAGAAACCGTTACTTCTTATACTATTATACTATACCTTATACTATTCTATCTCTTCAATGGATATTTTTTTTTCTCAGAATCAGGTAGTCAACAATAGGAGAAGGGATCAAAGACACAGACAGAGGACCGTAAACATGCTACGACAACAGCAACAGCAGCAACAGCAGCAACAGCAGCAACAGCGGCAACAGCGGCAACAACGAAGAAGGGAGGAACAACAGAGGCTTGCCCGGGACCAGCAACGACAACAACAGCAGCAGCAGCAACAACAACACTACCATGCTCTGCTGCGTGTTTTAGATGAGGCGCGAAGGACTTCGGTGAGATTTCGTTTCATCTGAACCGACTTTGTACCTTTTTCGTACCTCCTTAATGCAACTACAACAAACACTCCTAATGCGCTGTAATCAGTTCATGAAAGAATCCGACAGAGGACAATAGTGCGTTAGTGTGTTTCATTGTCACATTCGGGGCAGGGGTTGGCAAGTCATCTAAGGCGCCGCAATTCGCTCTGCAGAGTTCCTTAATCAAAGCGGATCGTTGCTCAGACCCGTGAACATCCGGTTTAGAGTAGATCTTCAGCAACCAATGCTTGCCATGAAAGGCGACTATGCTTGTAAGAGGCGTCTAACGGGATCGGGTGGTCAGGCATAGTAACATCGTGTTATCGTATCCCAATTGCGTGATTCGATGTTAATGATGTCAATCACTGTCGATTATATAGAGACCGCCATCATATAGCTAGACTATTGCTGAGCGCGGCGTTAAATCACAAACCGACAGACGACCTCTATAATAGGAACGTGATAAATAATGATTTGAATCGTTTATATATATATATATTCCTGGTAAGTGGGACTGTGTATCCGATGGTTGAGAAAGGCTTTAAGTATTGTTTGTTTCATTACAGAGAAGGGGACGCGTCCGCAAACCGGCAGGTGCTGTACAGATGACCCTGGGAGGAGGCATGACCAGTAAGTTGACCCAATGTGTCTAGATGTATCATTTACAAAGGGAGGTAATCAACACATCGACCGATTCTACGTGGGTCAGCCTAGTGTCGCCACCGCTGGCTTGTCAGCGTGAATATCCGGGTCAGACGTGACCTCAGCAACCCATACATGAAACAGGCATCTAACGGGATCGGTGGTTAGGCTCGTGACTTAGTTGATGCATGTCATTGTATATTCAAATAGCGTAGATCAATGTTCATGTCAGTCACTGGATTGTCTGGTCTAGACTCGATTATTTACAGACCGACGCCATATAGCTGGAATATTGCTGAGCATGGCGTTTACCAACAAACAAAAAACACTTTTCACAGAATTTACCCTCAATCGTTACTACTGCTACCACTACTACTTTCTTTATATTCTCCGGGTGACCCCGGACAGAACAGATTACCCAGTACCCGATTCCTGTTGAGTTCATGTATGGACCAGTCCAAATGTATGATTGTACTCCTTGATCATTCTACCATCCCATCAACCACTGTTCGCTTGTCAGTCAAATGTTAGCTGTAATATTGCTGACTGCGGCGTTCTACAACATTCACCTCCTCACCTTTCCACATGCAATGGTGACTCTGCCTCCCTGAAACGTCCCAGATACCTATGACTTCGTGTTCGAATCCTTGTTTGACATGATTGTTTCGAGGTTTATCATCACCATACACCTGCTCACCAAAGTGGTTAAGGCTGAGACCTGCATCAATTCTCGCTTTCCCCCAACATCAAGCTGTTCTGTTCTCTGTAAAAATACATCGACATATTATTACATGAATCAACTTAAGTACTGTTCGGCACTTAGAAATTGTGAAATTTTAAAGATTTACGGACAGGATTGGTGTTGGAAGATGCTTGCAGAAGTAGATAAGTGTGTATCTTGGTCAATGAATAGGTGTTTCCACCCTGGTGTTTAAATGGTTTGTTTCTCCTTACTTCAGGTATTGTAACCAACGACCAGGCTTCGTTCATCCGAAAAAGGCAGCGATAGGTGTCCACCCTCGGTGGCCACAAGCTGTCATTGGCGACAAGGTTAATCTGGCGTTACATCCTCAAATGCAGTAATTTAAACTATAGTTATAAACGAATCATTTATTCTCTAGGAATTAATTCTTTAGAGCAAACATTTTCCCGTCAATTTTGAAGCAAGATTGATTTTCTGCTTTATAGTACACTTTAACAGTGTTTATGTTAGTGCATACACTTCCGATACTCGTCCGTCCACTAAAAACAACTTCAAGAAGGACATTACAAACGTGATCTGATCGTCATGTATGTTTAAAGAAGTGATTGAATAATTCTGAACTTAACAAAATATTGTTTCTTCTTCAGGTGTGGTGACATGTTACCTTCTGCAAAACCTGCCAATTACGCCTCTTCATGTGCAGGAATTGACACCCTCTGATACACTCGATATCCATACATCTTATCCATAAACTATTCAGAGCATTTCATCAATCTTGACAACTGGCATGATCCAAAGATGCCAACTTAACATGTTGGAATTATCAGGATCTGTTTTGTATGTCCAAAATTTGGTACAACATCCTCCTTTTGACACAATCGTCCCTGAAGGTGTTCATGTGTACCATCTGATGACTCGGCAGCTCTGAGGTGTCGAGGGGTGTTTCATGTTTCATGGCTCAGTTTCTACCTGAAACACCCGCTAACACTTTCTAGTTGAACGATGACTCGGTTGTATTCAGAAACATTTTCTCAGGTAATTTGTATTTGGTCAACGTCAGTCAGGGGATTGTTGTGAAAAAAATTAATACGAGCATTGAAATGAGCGTGTCAGACCTTACTGGTTGCGTAACCTCAACAAAATATTTCAGTTTGTTTTCTGGATACAATGAGTTGAAGACGTCTCTTCCTAATCATGTGCGGTGCCATGGTAGGGTTTTGGCAATATTAGTCTACAACGAAGATGGATGTTTGTTGAACAGAACTAAGTGTCCAGGTAAGTTTCAAACTGTGCGTATTTGATGGTTAAAACGTGTGACTTACTTTATACACAGGCCGTTCAAAACACCTCTCTTAAGACATTCAGAACTCCAAGATGTATAGAACAACGCGTTTGTAAATTCAATTCTAAATTCTTTAGACTGTTCCTAACAACTTTCTTAAAAAGTACAAAACGTCCTACCTATCTATTTTTCCTTGACTCATGCGCCTTTGGTCAATTCAGTTCTAAGTTCGTGTTCCTGGACACAAGTCGAACTGAACAGGCACCCTTGCCGCAGCTGTACACCACACCGTCTACCACACCCGTCTACCACACCTCCGCTCTAGTCTATGGTGAGTACTAGTATATAAACTCTAGATCTATGCAATTTAACTGGATACTTTATATTCACAACGAAGAACGGAAACGTCCCCTGACGCCACTCGATTGCACCTACAGCCTTAGACACCAGTTGGCAAATAGTATCTATAAGTAAAAATAGGTTATCATGCGAGTGTATTTTTGGATAATAAATATCCTGTATTGGGAACAGACATTGTATTTAGCGAGTTTTGGCCTCGCCCACTCACCCACATTTAACAGTTTTTTTCTATATGCTCTCGAGGTGACCCAGGGCAGAATAGATAACCCAGTACCTAAACGTTGTTGATTGTACTTACGTTGATCATTCTACAATCAATCCCATCGACCACTCTTCGCTTGTCAGTCAAATGTTAGGTGTAATATTGCTGACTGCGGCGTTCTACAACATTCACGCCCTCCCCTTTCCACATGCAATGGTAACTCTACCACCCTTAGATATTCCAGAAACTCCAGTTCAATACACCTCGTCAAAGAGGAACAGGTCTGACGTACATGTATATGATATTAGTGTGTAAATCGCAATAACACATGTTGAAATACAATTCTTGTCAAATAAAAAACTCAATGTATATCGAGTGGGGCCAGGGAATTCTTTGAATAGCGTGTTTGTCTGATATATGCTGAAATAACAAACGAGTAAACCAGTCTTTGAATTAAGAAGAAGATTTTTTAAACATTAAGTTTTTTTCTAAAGATTATGTCCAGCCTCAGTCGCCACCAGCCTCAGTCGCCACCAGCCTCAGTCGCCACCAGCCTCTGTTGCCACCTGCCACCAGCCTCAGTTGCCACATGTCTCCAGCCTCAGTTGCCACCAGCCTCAGTTGCCACCAGCCTCAATTGCCACCAGCCTCAGTTGCCCCCCTGCCACAAGCCTCAGATGCCACATGTCTCCAGCCTCAGTTGCCACCAGCCTCAGTTGCCACCAGCCTCAATTGCCACAAGCCTCAGATGCCCCCCTGCCACAAGCCTCAGTTGCCACATGTCTCCAGCCTCAGTTGCCACCAGCCTCAACCTTCAATGGCCGCCGTCCGACAGCATCAGTTGCCACCTGCTTCAGTCGCCACCAGCCTCAGTTGCCACCAGCCTCAGTTGCCACCAGCCTCAGTCGCCACCAGCCTCAGTTGCCACCAGCCTCAGTTGCCACCAGCCTCTGTTGCCACCTGCCTCCAGCCTCAACCTTCAATTGCCGCCGTCTGACAGCATCAGTTGCCACCTGCTTTAGTCGCCACCAGCCCCAGTCGCCACCAGCCTCAGTTGCCACCCGCCTCAGTTGCCACCAGCCTCAGTTGCCATCAGCCTCCAGCCTCAACCTTCAATTGCCGCCAGCTGACAGCATCAGTTGCCACCTGCCTCCACCTCCACCTGCATCAACTTCCCTCTGCCTCAGGTACATCATCTGACATACACTAAACTTGCCAGACTCTCTTACCAAACTAATCCGGACCAGCCAACATATCCAGCTGTCCATGGTCTCACTGTAAACAAAGTTATAGTTTCTAAAGTTGTTGGTAGATTCTTGATGGCAAGTAATAGATGTTCCTATCCTGATGCTTGTTAATTGCTTCTTTCATATATTTTAACTAAAATCTCCTCATCACTTCAGGTGTCGTTCCGACTGACCAGTACGCAGCCTCAGTCACCTTAACAGTTACCAGGCGTAGTTGCCGTCCATCCTCAGTTTCCACCAACCTCAGTCTCATCCTCCAGCTGCCATTGGTCTCACCGTCAACAGTCCAACGGTCACTGACTGATTCCTCCTTCACGGTCAGCGACCACGCCATCTGGTGTTGCCTCCTAAGATGCAGTAAGTAAAACTGAAGCTGTAAACGAATTATTCATACTGTAGGAGTTAATTCTTAATGTATATAGATACAGTTGTCATATTAGTGCATGCAATTCCTACATTATTTGTCCGTCCACGATTAAACATAACTTCACAAAATGCCACATGTATGTGAATTGATCGTCATGTTTGTTTACAAAAGTGATTGAATAATTCTGAAATTAACAAAATATTGTTTTTCTTCAGGTGTTGTGACAGCTACCTTCTCCAACATCCGCCAATTACACCACTTCATGTGCAGGAATTGACACCCTCTGATACACTCTATATCTATATATCTTATCCATAAACTATACAAAGTATTTCATCAATCTTAACATAACCAGAGGGGCGGTCGGGTAGCCTTGTGGTTAAAGAGTTCGCTCGTCACGCTGAAGACCCTGGTTCGATTCCCGACATCGGTACAATGTGTGAAGCCCATTTCTGGTGTCCCCCGCCGTGATATTGCTGGAATATTGCTAAAAGCGGCGTTAAAACCATACTCATTCACCCACAATACCAGGATGATCCAAAGATGCCAACTTAACATGTTGGAATTATCAGGATCTGTTTTGTATGTTTAAAACTTGGTACAACGTCCTGCTTTTGACACGATCGTCCTCTTACAAGTCCCTGAAGGTGTCCATGTGTACCTCCTGATGACTCGGCAGCTCTGAGGTGTTGAGGGGTGTTTCATGTTTCATGGCTCAGTTTCTACCTGAAACACCCGCTAACACTTTCTAGTTGAACGATGACTCGGTTGTATTCACAAACATTTTCTCAGGTAATTGTATTTGGTCAACGTCTTTAGTCAGGGGATTGTTGTAAAAGAGTTTAATACAGGAAGTATGTACTCGTATTGAAATGGGCGTGTCATATCTCACTGGTATCTTCCGAGAACGTATCAAATTGCATTTGGTTAAAACGTCACCTCAACAAAATATGTCGGTTGACATTCATGATACAATGAGTTTAGGGAGAATATTCCCAATCATGTGCGGTGTAAGGTAGGATGTTGGAAGTATCAGTCTACCACTGACGTCAATGGATGTTGAACAGAACTCAGTGATAAGGTAAGTTTCAAACTGCACTTATTTGATGGTTAAAAATGATTAGACTCACTTATAGACAGTCTGTTCCAAATAACTTTCTTAGGAAGTTCAAAACTTCCTCCCTCTCTTTCCCTTTACAAAACACGCATTTGGTCAATTCAGTTCGCGGCTTGTGTTCCTGTGTGTGAGCAATGACATGTGATCACAATCTCAACTTTTACAGGCACCCTTGCCGCAGCTGTACACCGCCCCGCCTACCACACCCGTCTACCGCACCCGTCTACTGCAACCGTCACCGCTCTAATCCATGGTGAGTGTATGAACGCTCGGTCGCTGCAGTTTATATGTCTGTAGTATTGATTGTATACCAGTTGTAGTAGTCACTGTGGCTCACCAAAGTATGGAAGCGTGTTAGTGCCAGTCTCCAAACATATTACCATTACACTTTCGTCTACGTATGCGATTTTGTATAATTATTATGTATTCGTTTCGTTACTCAGACAGTGATATTGGCTTGTGAAGTTGCGACCCTAGTTGGACACTAGTTTATACAAACCTTTATGTTTAGCTGATTACTAATTAAATGTTTGGCAGCATGTTTATTTGGCCTTTTTCCATATTTTTATAGCATACTCAGATCATTTCAAATTGTCAAACAATCAGCTCTGAAATAAAAACACAAACTGCAGAATTGTACTGCAGAATTGTACCTTCAGTGCTTCATTGGATGATGACGGGTATTGGTTTGAAAAAGTTTTTATAGTTTTGATAATTCTCACGCTTTAATATTCATGTTTTACCTCCTAAACCTACTTTACGTAATGGAGAAATCATGACAAACAACATATGCGAGTGATTTCTTCAGCTTCAATAATGTTATGGTTGATATATAACTCCGCTAAAGGTTTGAGTAATGACCTATGGTTGTTGTTTCTTTGTTTTTAGTTGGAGAACATTTTGTACTCTCCTTATTGGTGTAAAACAGTGCGACAAATCGATAGTAGACGATACCTTCTTCTACGTAGATAATATTATATACGTAGATGCTATATTTTAGACTGTTGCACTAATACGCTTCCATACTACAGCCCTGTCATATATCAGTAGGCAAATAATGATAGAAATAGTAGTATAGCATATTTATCCATAGGGGCAAGGGTACTGGTTATTTCTGAATTATTTTCAGTAAAATCTCACTGATCATTAAAATTTCTTCTGCATGCTTATTGTCTACATCCTTCCGTTGTCACATTATTTTCATTGTTTGCGAAGCGTACCGCAGCAACGTCACGTCATATCTAATCATGGCTTGCATATAATGAATAATGACGCCATTCCTTGTTGATGACGTCAGTCTGTTTGTGACGTAGTCAATCTGTTATTGGAACTGAGATTGTCTCCACTAGTGACAAAACAAAAACACCTGGGATGACTGGTAATATAGAGAATAACCCTACTCACTACTCGGAATGACGGATCATATGTCCCTAGTGAAATAATGTTGAACTCCCTTGTCAAGACTCAGGACAAATTAATTCCCTCAGGATAGATCATCAGTCACTCTGAGCTGCCAGTAGGTTACACAGTCCTGCCCCAATATTATAGTAAATGTGTCGGTGTAGATAATAGACGTATGAATATATACATGCATGTTTAACCAGCCTCCATCTGCGTTCATATAAAACGAATGTATCTCTCCCTCCAACAGGCATTTCCTCCGAATACCAGTGGACTAGTGTGGACCCAGCTTCTGTCCTCCACGATGTATATGAACTCTCAAGGACTGGAGTGTCCCAATAGCCATGCTGCTCCAATATCTGTGCTTGTCACACTGAAGACGACAACACGACAATCTGTATAATCATAGTTACAAAGGATGCTTACTACATATCGGATATCAGTTGATACAGTTAACTAAGTCTTTCTTCATTTTAAATCCCTTCTCCTAGATCAGTTATAATTGTCTTTCAACGTCACCTGTTTTGGGGTACAACGTAATTCTTACGTCCCTGTTCTATTACCACTTACTCAAAAACCGTCATATGAAATTTATTTTGGTCTCTATCAGGTGGATGGATATATACAGGTGCAGTTGAGCCATGCTGCCCTGGATATATACATCTGAATACAAATAAGTACAGATCAAACGTGAATATGTTGACACTCGGGGAATTCAAAAGTTTAGTGTTTATAGTTGAGGATACACACAGGTTGCCGCCATGCTTCAAATTCTTTCTGCATTTGTCATCTTAATTTGGAAACTTTCTTTCGACCTTTCATGAGAATGGATATATACAGATGTGGTTGAGCCATGCTGCTCTGGATGTATTCATTTGATACCTTCTAAACAAGCCTAGTCTTCAAAGTATGAGTACAAACAGGGTTATCAAACCATAATTAAACTGCACAAACAAGTCAAAAAGTCAATCGAAAAGTTGATCTGGGTCACATTTGACCTTGTCATTGCAAATTCCAGTGATATTAATTACGATAAATATTTCATATCTATAGCCAAACATTCAATAAGTATAAACGTTTTACCTTGAGGCGACAGCACGGCATCGTGGTTGAAGTGCTTGTAGGGTTAGGTTTGATTGTTAGCATGTCACAGTGTCTGATATTCTGATATTCTTGATATACAGCTAAAAGCAGCAAAAAGCCACAAACCCATGATAAAGATGTATATATTTCTATTTATTTTTCGTACTCCTTTCACTGTCTCATTGTAACGTCTTGTAAGAACACGTGGCTGTTTAAATGTGTGATTACGTGGTGTTTTCCCTCATGACATTTGTAAATTTGTTTTTAATAAAGTTTTAAACTTAGCTATATCGTGTTGTCAAGTTGTCACCTGGTTACTATTTGCTGCCACGTCTCGTGCCTGGATCCCTGAGCGTGGGTTCGAATCCCAGATCCCAGTTTGTGAGCACCACGCTCTGACTGGTTTTACCTGTGCTAAATGTGTACGACATGCATCATTTCAGGCTCTCCCCCCACATCAAGCTGCGTTTACCTCCCAAATGGGCTCCCTGACTATAATGGAGAGTGGTTTTCATTTATAACAGTCAGTCTTAATTCCAAATTCTTCCCTCTAAATTGGTATCAACAAAACATTATACACAGAACAAGAATCATAGACAACGGGCTTATATGTGATGTACGACAACAGAAACACGAATAGTAAAATGTGTTACATGATGTGTAACAGTTAACGCTAATGGCGGACACATTCGGTGTTGAATGCCGTCTGAATTCTTCGTGACCAACTCGCGCTATTCTGGCACAAGCCTAATGGAGACTGGTGTCCCTCGAAGGAATGCAGAGGCATGAACATAAGATGTTGCTTCAAACAAGAACGATAACTCCTATTCTACCAGCATCAAAGTTTATCGACAAAAACATGTATTTTGTTAAAGAGCACATTTATCAACCAATTCAACTCATTTATTCTAATGCTGTGTTTGCAAATTAAGATTGTAAACTTAGATGTTTCATAAAATGACAATAAGAAGGTGGGTTTTGGTTTAATAATAATTTCCACAATGTAATATTCAAACCCCGTGATGTTCCGAGTTAGACGTGAGCTCCAGCTTGCAGTGAGAGGTGACAATGCATCGGTTGCAATTGGTCAAGCACGGCGACTTGGCTGATTGCCTGTCATTGTACCACCCCAGATTTTGTTGTGGCGACATTGTTGTCTGATTCTCATGCACAGAACAACTTCATTTGAGTTTTGGGACATTACGCCAAATATTACACAACTTGAGTTTTCGAAATGTGTCGGTATATACAACATCAAAGACACATATTGTAATATATGTTGGACTAAGAATTTTCTTTTTCAAATTTCGAACTTCTCATGTATGTGCGTACGTAATTTTTGATATACGATCCACCATATAGTTGTGATTATTTTCCGAGGAATCTAAGTTTACAAACAACCTGCAAAAAATATATTCAGTTCTCTTATTAATGTAATAAAGCTATGTGATACGGATCGGACAACAGAGGACATTCGTCACCACTCGCCCATTTCCGTAACCTGCAAGAAGACTCGTGCCCCTATTGATGAATAACTGGTGCATTACCGCTTTACCAAGGCATCGCTGGAGTGTAACGCGAATGACACCGTGTGTTACTGGTGCATTACCGGAGCTTTACCAGGGCATCGCTGGAGGGTAACGCAAATGACACCGAGTGTAACTGGTGCATTACCGGAGCTTTACCAGGGCATCGCTGGAGTGTAACTCGAATGACACCCGTGTGTAACTGGTGCATTACCGTAGCTTTACCAGGGCATCGCTGGAGTGTAACTCGAATGACACCCGTGTGTAATTGGTGCACTACCGCAGCTTTACCAGCGCATCGCTGGAGTGTAACTCGAATGACACCCGTGTGTAATTGGTGCATTACCGCAGCTTTACTAAAGCATCGCTGGAGTGTAACTCGAATGAGACCCGTGTGTAACTGTTGCATTACCGGAGCTTTACCAGAGCATCGCTGGAGTGTAACTCGAATGACACCTCTACATGTGTATACCTCATAACGTATCTACGATGGTAAATGCTTACATATATACCTCATAATCTATCTACTGTGTTGCATACTTACAATATGCCACATTGTGGATCTATTGTGTTGGATAATGACAACTTTACCTTATGTCTACACTGTGTTGTATACTTACATATACACCATATAACATATCTACGTGAGGCTAACACCTTCGCTTGCAAATGAAATCTATCCATTGATGTAATGTAAGGGTTAGCAGATACCATTGTGCCATTACAGTAAAAGTCAATGTTGGGTTAGGGATAAGGATACGATGGTTAGATTAAGAGTTAAATTGATATTAAAAGAGAGATGTTGACATTAATGTGGCAATGGTTAGTATGAAGATTTGGTTATGATTAAGATAGGATAAGACTGATATTAGGGTCTAGGCATTACTGGGGATTACAGGCTTCGACTCCAACCGAGAAACGCAGTGAACTTTGTGAAGCCGAATTCAAGCGGATATCGAAGAATCAGTAGTCGAGCCACGAGTAGACATGTAATTGAAATGGATTAAAGTATCAAGGAACCAAGATCACGAGGTCCAGTCCAATTAGAAACTTCAGACCATCATGTTCAAACATGGCCCTCTTAAGTTGAGCACTAAACGACCCTGAGATGAACCCCTTCCTGAGACTGTATATCTTAAGTTCAGCTAATTTACATAACTTCAGCTTCTTAGATTTGCTGACGCGTCTTATGACAGCGCCCTTGCTTCCATGCACAATAGCGAGATGACAGCGTTCTAGTTACTATTGAAGACTACAGTCTGGGGAATGATCTTATAAAAGCTGTAGTGAAGTAGCAGCGACCTCAACTCGGAACATAAAACATCAGTGGTGAAGATGTAAAAGGGCATATGGTTTCAGGACAAGACTAGATGCGATTGTGGACTGATTGGTACCAACCTACACAATTCAAACACACATGGTACCAACCTACATGGTACCAGGCTGGACGGCACCTGTCTACACGGCACCTGGCTATATGACGCCAGCCTAGATGGCAAAATATTATATGACACCAGCCTACATGGCAACAGCCTATATCTCGCCAGCCTAAAAGGCACCTGACTATATGACGCCAGCCTGCATGGCAACAGCCTATATGACGCCAGCCTAGATGGCGCCCGGCTTTATGTCGCTAGCCTGCATGGCACCTGAGTATATGACGCCAGCCTGCATGGCACCTCGCTATATGACACCAGCCTGCATGGCACCTCGCTATATGACGCCAGCCTACATGACACCTGGCTTTATGACGCCAGCCTAGATGGCACCTGGCTATATGTCGCCAGCCTACAGGGAACCTGGCTATATGACTGCAGTGGGATTACAGCAAGACAGAGAACCCGTTTGATAGTGGTAGAGGGAAATATCAATGGACAGCGCTACCGCGACGAGATCATCGGCCCTGTTGTTCTACCGTTTTTGCGTCGTCATGGCCCAGGCATTACCTTTCAACATGACAACGCCCGGCCTCATATTGCTCGACGTCTTCGGGATCCCTTCAACAAAACAACGTGAATGTCATCCCTTCTCCGGCTTGCTCCCCTGATCTCTCACAAATCGAGCATATGTGGGATGAGATGGATCGGCGCCTTCGACGTCAACCACGTGTTCCACAGACACTCCAGGAACTTCGAAAGATGCTCCAGCAGATATGGACAGATATCCCACAGGACTTTGTGCGACGCCTGATCCATTCCATGAGACGAAGATTTGTTGCTTGCATCGCAACCAGAGGTGGACACACACGCTATTGATTTGTAAGTTGACATTTTGGGATGTTCATGGGTTTTTTTTATGAAATCACGCATTTTCTGAAGTCAGTATGGCAAATTAAACCATTTGAACACTTATATGAGTCTTTTATCTGTTGCAAACCGAAATTGTTTCAGATTTGGTAAAAAACATAACTTTGCATTAAATCATCGTTCTTCATTGTTCTTTTCCATTTATCGCGTAATTATCTTATATATGATATTAGCCGACATTTTAAGAGGTTTAAATGGCATCAGTCTATGACACACGAGTTTTAATAGTACCAGCCTGTAGGCATCTGTCTATATGGTGCCAACCTTTATGGCAGATCCCCGAGGTGACGTCTGAATCGGAAATAAGATGGGAATGTTATTTAAGTGATGGTACATAAATATCATAAAGCTGTGTGTCCCCAACGGTTCTGTTCTATGTTGACAGGTTGACCTCAAGCTGAGGAATTCATCGCAAGAAAAAGGTTATTATATTCCCTATGTAGACAACCTTACATCTGTAAAGCTAAACAATTATTGGTTCGCATTTCCTTGCAAAATTTGTGGCTTTGGATTACTTTGCCTATATTTTCACATTGGAAACCTCTAACTGAGCTTGTGCCTGATACTTTCCTTGAGAACAGTTTCATTGACAAACTGAGCTTCGTCATGGACATTTTACCACATGTCGACAATGGGGCAGGGACTTACATGTTAATATCCTCGTACACTGTACCGACCTTATACAGTCTCGGACATTGGACCGACCTTGTACTGTCTCTGACATTGTACCGATCTGTACTGTCTCTGACATTGTACCGACCTTGTACTGTCTCGGACATTGTACCGACCTTGTACTGTCTCTGACATTGTACCGACCTTGTACTGTCTCGGACATTGTACCGACCTCGTACAGTCTCTGACATTGTACCGACCTTGTACAGTCTCGGACATTGTGCCGACCTTGTACAGTCTCGGACATTGTACCGACCTTGTACAGTCTCGGACATTGTACCGACCTTGTACTGTCTCTGACATTGTACCGACCTTGTACAGTGTCTGACATTGTACCGACCTTGTGCAGTGTCTGACATTGTACCGACCTTGTACAGTGTCTGACATTGTACCGACCTTGTACAGTGTCTGACATTGTACCGACCTTGTACAGTGTCTGACATTGTACCGACCTTGTACAGTTACCATGCGTGTCCATACTGAGAATCAGAGTAACACCAAGACCCCTCCACAATTATTATACATCCTTGTGGCAACACAAAGAGTTGATCAATTACAAAAGAATGTGTATTTCCCGCTGCAGAGAAGCACACCCTACATCCAGATTATTTTTAATTATTTCATATTTTCTTTCACTTGCTTTTTTAACTTCATTCTGATAATTTTGTTACCAGAAATCCAATATACACATGAACACTGTTCCGTTATGAACAAGTTTATTTACACTATCACCCAGTGTTTTGAGCAAAATGTACTTGAAACTGTGGTGTTCGTGAAGGAATACAAATATCATTCAGGAATGGAGAAATGTTCAATTTAAATAACGGTCATCCCGAAGAAAAACACCAGAACTCCAAAAAGTAATACTCTAAAAGAGTCGGAACAATTATGTAAGGATGATCGCTACCAGTCTGTAATGTCTTCACAAATATGCTGCATGCTATCACGCAAAGTCGTCCAATGGGTTTACACACTTTCCCGCTACAAAGACGTCCCAAGGTGTTGAGCACTTTCCCACTGGAAAGACGTCCTAAAGAATGTTTGTGTTTGTACACTGTCCGGCAGCAAAATCGTCACGAATGTGCTGCAGAATGTCCTGCAGCAAAGTCCATCCTCAGTTAGTCAATATCATAAGATGGAATCACTTTTTGCCTTGTTAGACGTGATGCCACATATATGTGCTAGTCACTTGTGCATCACTTTGAGGGAGATGTGTGTGCCAGCCGTCGTGTATGTGTTTTCCCTAGACACATTGCGTCTCTTACCCAGGCAGGTCCTGATGAAGGCTTGTCGGAACTTAGTTGATATGAGACTATACACAACAGGGTTAGTGCAACTGTTAAGATAGAACATAATCCTTGCAAAACACAGCAGGTTCCAGAACCCCTCAAACCCCAGAGCTCTGATCTTGGAGGGATTGGCGAAGATCATCCACAGGCTCACTGTCCTGAAGGGAAGATGGAAGAAGAAGAAGAGAAGAGTTATTACCACCAACATGATGACAACCTTCCTCCTGGCCTTGTTCTTGCTGTGACATCTCTGTTCATCCAGCTTGTCACTGAACCGGAACTCCTGCACCAGCGCCCGCGCTATGACGAGATATAGAATAGCCAGAACCACAAACGGCAGGGTAAAGAACACCACGAACAGACAAACTACGTAGCCCTTCTGCCAGGGTAGGACGATGGATTGTCTGCAAACTTTGATAGGAGTCCCGTCGTAGTAGCGAGAGTCCCGGTACACTGAGATTCCCAGGAAAGGCATGCTGGACAGCATGGAGATGAACCAGATGACCAGAACGATGAACAGCTTCATGGACTTGGAGTAGATCTTGGTGTCCCTGATACGGAGGGGGTGGCAGATGGCCTGGAACCTCTCACTGGCGATCACCATCATCGTCAACACTGAGGCATGGGCCGCACAGCTCTCTAACATCGGGACAAGAGTGCCTGGAAAGACAATATAAAGCTGAAGTTGTGTAACAAATCAATTACGAAACAACATATGGTAAAAGAAATTGGTTGAAAGGACACGAGTTGGTTGGTACTTATAATGTGTAGTATAATTCAATTAGTCAGCAACTATTTCGGCAATCACGCGTTCAGTAGACCCCCCTCCAACAACCTGGCCCCTCAATATAACTAGTATGCTTCTTATAAAGACTATTATCTTCAGTGGTGACCCAGTTTTATCTTTACCACTGGTTCTCTTCGCGATATTTTACCGTGGGCAGTTTGCTAAACATTAAACGATCCAAGAACTGAAGTCATCCCTAATTTGCCCTGCCCTTCCCTACTCTACAATCTCTACTACCCCACAACCACCACTCCCAAGGTCCAAGCCTCATCGCAACCCTCCCGTCATCTACTCTACAGCCCCTGAGTGATTGTTGAAAATGTGTGTCCTAATTTTATAGCTAATTTAAGTTGTTGACCTGCTTTCTTACCACCTGTAACCATATATGAGTGTCTGTTTATCTGCCTAACAGTTTGTGTGCTTTCAAGAAAACACGATTAGGAAAAGCATTTAATAAAATAAATTCCATGTTTGTAAACTTTCAGGAGATTAAATCGGAATGTTTTCTTCTGCGTTCGCTTTGTTGTATCTTTATCAAGTAGGGGATATTCGCTAATGTCCAATCACTAATGTCATTTCATTTCAATATCGTCATCATTGTGTTTGACATTTTGGTATAACGGAACATGGTGCACTAAGATTCAACACACGTCCATGTTTAATTCATAATTCAGTTACAGCCATACATCGGTTTCCACATAAACTATTCCAGGAGAGCACTAGTTTTAGAAACAAGATGTCTGCCTCATGTTTCTTGCACAATTCAAGTTTTTGGCAGAATGTACCTAAACGAAGTCACATTAAAGAAGCGAAGATCATCCGCAGAGACTCGCAACATTTATTGTTTATTTCTGCTCCGGGTTCTTTCTAGGAAACAGGTGAGTATATGGGAGCAGGGCCACAGATGCAGGTTACCTAGAACCCGATGGGAAACATCTAATACAATAACGATCCTAACTAAAGCGACATTTAGACATTGCCAATCAGGGGCGGTGGGGTAGCGTAGTGGTTAAAGCGTTCGCCCGTCACGCCGAAGACCTGGGTTCGATTCCCCACATTGGTACAATGTGTGAAGCCCATTTCTGGTGTCCCCCGCCGTGATATTGGTGGAGTATTGCTGAAAGCGGCGTAAGCCCATACTCACCCACTCACTCACTTTAATTAACATGAATTATTGATAAGAAAAATGCCCTAAAAGTCTTCGTTTATCGTGCTTGTTTCCTTTGTGAAGTGGCACAAACACAATCTGATCATTATGGATCCTACACAGCGGTAGTTTAGTGTATAAAGAATCTATATTCTAATGGGGGAAATAAGGTTTCGACACACAATATGTATGAGCGGGCATTATCTACTGGAATTAAAACTGACGAACAATCCCAGGCCTCAGATTCATCACGCTAACTAATCGCCGTGAGTCGGCTATTAAGGCGGATGTCGCTATCGGCGCAACTAACGCTATACCGCTTTACTCCTTCCATTCTTAAACGTCTGTTATTAGCAATGCCAATCACAAAACAATGTCGTGTTCATCCTGCAGATTGTGCACAGTTCTATCACTTTAATCGTCCTTGAGCGATGTTCCTAAACTGGGCGTTTATGCTTGATGAGGTTATTCCCTAATAGTCCAGGCAATCCCGGCCATTTTTTCACTTGATAATTGGTGGCCATATTAGACTTTTCGAATATTTCCAAAACTGGGATTGCTTGGGGCTTTTAATATGTTGTTTTTGGGACCTTGTAGAATTGCAATTTGTTCCAAGTGAAACCTTATCTTGCCTGGACTATAACGCCAAGATTCCTATCCGACTGTCTTCGCACCCTGTCGCTATGTCTACGTCGCCTGTGCAAATCGGATAACATTCAACTCACATTAATATATTTTCTAGATCATCAGCAACCTGTTGGATGAGCTCTCCGGCGTGACCAACCCTATTGCTTTCCATTTGTGCGCTACTGTCCTGAATTATTTCGCCATTATTATGTGCATTTTCTCAACGTCGATGCATGGATGACAATATTGCGCTAGGATACTTTCTATATGCATTTTTCGCAAAACGAACCTTTTGGGTATTTACAAGATGAAATATGTTTCGTGGTCATCGCTGAATGTGCCCACTGTATGAATTATTCTTTTCACTGGTATGTGTGGGTGATCATTTTTCATGAAAGAATTTTTGATTTCACAAGATTTTATTCTCGAAAATATGAACATCGCGAACCTTACACATTTCCCCAAAATTTTGTTGTTAATTAACAACAAATACTTGACAGTCTAAACTTATTGTTAAATCGAAATGAACTTCCATATATTGTATTTCTATTGATGGGTTTCATATATTATACAAATTATTACTCTTGACGAGGTCAATATGCGAAAGCAAGGACCTGAGGACCCGACCTAGGTGGTCAGACCGCCGAAGGGGTCGGGTCCGAGAATCCTTGTTTTCCCATATTGACCTCGTCAAGAGTAATCATTCTTTTTGTTATAGGTGAGGTCAAATAGGGTTTAACGTCGAGTCCAAGATTATTGCACTTATATAACGACGTGCATGCACGTGTATGTGTGTGTGTGGCTGCTTGTACTAGTCCGGACTGATGCCGATTTATAGTGCTCGCTCACTGAGATACCATGCCGCAGTTTAACATGAATACCCCACTCAGACACAGTATACTGACTCCGAGCGGACCAGTCCTTGTTTTAGCCCCTTAATGCCGAGCACCAGACAGTGTAACAAGTACCATCTTTTAACGTCTTTTGGTATGACGCGGTCGGGGATCGAACCCCGGACCTTCCGCTCTCCGGACGGACGCTCTCCCATTAGACCACGGAGGCGGTCTCGTTTTGTTATAACAAAATTTACTTAAGTTTATAATGTCCTGTAAATCAGCTGCGAACATTGAAATGTTCGTACCAGACGCCATCTTGTTTTCTAGCAGACGACTCAATATTTATCATGTGACGAGTCAATATTCGAGGTCAGTGTCAGTCACATGATTTCAAAGTCTTCACTGAAATGTATTGTTTCGTCACGTGGTACGGATTAACCAATAGAATTACGAGATTCTTAAAATAACAATAAAGGTATAACAATTTGATATGTATATGTACTTACACATTATAGCCCCGAAATGCCAGATATCCTTGGCGTATATATCCACCAGGGCCGTGGGCATGCACACGGTGATCACCATCAAGTCCGCGATTGCCAGGTTCACCAGGAACAGATTGGTAGAAGTGCGCATGTCGTGGTGCAGTCCCACCACGGCTGCAACCACGCTGTTCCCGACGGTGCCAGTGAGAAATATAATGACGTAAAGAAGTGTTGACGTCACCAGTATGTACAGCGGCATCTCCGGGACGGTCTTCACCACAGACGACGAGTTGTTGCAGGTGTATGCCGAGTTAGTGTGGTGCTCGTCGTCGGACATGTTCCAGGACGTCATGCTCGCGTTATACCCCATGTCCACGTCGCCGCAAAGCAACGTCAAGCCGCCGGACACCAGCTGCCAGTATTTCCACGGATGTTAGCAGTCCTATTCGGAAGATTCGTCATTAATCGTGTTGACAGGAACGTCGTGACATCGTCTGCAATGTGTGTCTGCAAGATAAACGTATCCTTGAATTACAGAAAGACAGACAGTTTATTGAGTAATTCAGGCATCAAGGCCCATAGTACAATGCAGATTGTCACGTGATGTACATGATTAGATTTTAAATCAAGTTACATATTCCTCATTATAAAGACATGTTTTAAGAAGACAGAAACAGCATGGATCATATCAGGATTTTCAGAGTTCAGGAGATTTATCATTATCTGATGTTTAAAAATACCTTGCAACATGGGGAGAAATTTATACCCTAAATTGGAATACGCTACAAATATAAGTAAGACATGGTATTCATCCTCTACTTCTCCGGGTGAACAGTTTGTACAAATAGAGTTCACAATATCGCCATCTTTGGACCTGCGACATATATTTACGTTTAACTTTGAAATTGAAATTCTAAGTTTACAATAAGCTCTGATAAAACTTTTACCATTTAAACAAATTAAATATCTTTCAGTTTGTAACAATGTTTTTACTTTGCTGCAATTGCTAAGATATAGTGTTTCAGAAATACTGACTTATAACCTCTCCACCCACCTGCACATAATACATGGACCTCACAGCTATGCGGAAAGGTTTGGCATATTTCAGATACTGATAAATACGTCTTAGAATTTTTTAGTGGTAAGGATGCATTAAATATGTCTAGCAGATTGTAAAGCCCGGAAATTGAGGCTAGAGTGTCACATTCAAAATGCCAACGCAAGAGTAAAATCGGTCTCAGATTCCATGGGCCGTAAAAGGCAATGTAGTGCTGAAAATTGATGACACCAGGTGATTGCGAAAACGATAAGCATGTTCTGGCCTACCGGTCGCCTCCGACACTAACACTATTTTCATTGAAAGTGTGGGAGACAGTGCAGTGAGAAAGGAGGGGTGAAAACACCGTGTAAAGGTCATAGCATGAGGCAGCATCGCGGTACATGGTTCATATTTGGTATATACTCACGAATGCCTGCCTTAATACTTCTAGAATGAGTTAACCGGGCTTTTAATGGTGGACCTTGGGTTGAACAGCTCAGTTTGGACACAACATTATCAGAACGAGCGTGTTACTTTGTACTCGCTGTGATGATAAATTTCAACAAGCATGAGATTATTTCACTCCCTGCTTCGGGGCACGGGTGGCCCAGTCGTTTAAGGCGCCGCGATTCGCTCTGCAGAGTTGCGTCCCTTGGGCATGCCAGAAACCTATGATTGTGGGTTCGAATCCCAGTTCGCCCCGATTATGTTTCTAGGTTTGTCAGTACCACATCCGTGCTCGTGGGTTTCACCGAAGTGGTAAACGTCTGAGACCTGCATCACTTCGGGCTTTCCTCCCACATTAAGCTGACACGCCGCGATATAACTGGAATAATGTTAAAAGTGGCGTTAAACCCAACTCACTCACTCTTATGTTTTTGATGTCCGCTTCACATGATGTTAATCTCCTACACATCCTTGACGCAAAGACCATACCGATGTACATTAACCTCCGTGGGGTTTTCGGGTTAGAAATGGTCCTCATCAAACTATTCTGGTCATAAGAGGCGACGCGATAGATCGAGTGGACACGTTTATAATATCATTCACCGGGCAAGGGCTAATTTGACCTGGGGGAGATCTTCCGCATCCAAGGACACATTTCCCCTCTTGCAGGAAGTCAAACACTGACCGAAAAGCTAGTATACTTAAATTTCAAACAAACTAGTAACGACTTCCTCATTTGGTGCATGTGTCATTGAGTCCTTGACTGATAAAGGTTCAGATGGATCTCATTGTCACTTTATTTGACATCGCAAGATAACAAATTCAGCCAAGAGAAACTTAATCTTTGATGTACACTAACCCAATTCTCTTAGAGGCACGTTGCCAGTCTGCAGTGGAAGAGATGCTTTAACAAACACGTGACACTGTGAACTTCAATGGACTAAAGACAAACAACTTGCCATCTTCTCACATCTTCACTCCGCCTCTCATATCAATCAATAATCAGCGTGTTCCTATGTAACTCTAAGTAACCATAATACATAAACAGTGAACACAGTTCTTACTCCGTTCACTACGCGAGAATCTGACACGTGTGATGCCAGGTGTGCAGTTATATATTTAGGACTGTATGTAATTATGCATGCAGTCATGCGTGTAATGTATGTAGTCACGCAATCATCTAAGTTATGTGTGTAGTCATATATGCAGTCATGTATGTAGTCATGTGTGTAGTCGTGTATGTAGTCATGTATGTAGTCATGTATGCAGTCATGTATGCAGTCATGTATGTACTCATGTATGCAGTCATGTATGCAGTCATGTATGTAGTCATGTATGTAGTCAAGTGTGTAGTCATGTATGCAGTCATGTATGCAGTCATGTATGCAGTCATGTATGCAGTCATGTATGTAGTCATGTGTGTAGTCGTGTATGTAGTCATGTATGCAGTCATGTATGCAGTCATGTATGCAGTCATGTATGTACTCATGTATGCAGTCATGTATGCAGTCATGTATGCAGTCATGTATGCAGTCATGTATGTAGTCATGCGTGTAGTCATGTGTTTAGTCATATGTGTAGTAATGTATGCAGTCATGTATGCAGTCATGTATGCAGTCATGTATATAGTCATGTATGCAGTCATGTATGTAGTCATGTGTGTAGTCATGTACAATGTATGCAGTCATGTATGCAGTCATGTATGTAGTCATGTATGCAGTCATGTATGTAGTCCTGTATGCAGTCATATCCGACTTATTGTTGACGATCTTCTCGCGGAATGGACAGAGTAACAACAGTAAGAAACATTGACACCTCGCGTACCGCTGATAATTTGAACGTAATACAGTTCACGTGGCTACTGTCAACCTACGTGACTTAATGTAATTTTTCTCACCATCTTTCTACATTATTTAAAGAATTTGGAGTGTCAAACACAAAGTGTAACCAACATATTCAGGAGGAACCTTCGTTATTTGCCTACGTGTATGGTGAGGAACCAGAAACCTCCATGTGAATGTGAGGACGAAATCTTCAAAATACGAGGAAAACCCCCCAACACCAGGACGGGGAAAATCATTGTGATTGTGTCTCGCTTATTTATAAAGCTGACCTCTGACGAGGTAGAGAGCAGGCAAAACACGCCATGGTACAGGCAAACCTGTGATGACAATAAGAGGATTTGAAATCCAGGCCCAGAAGACCCTGACTTACACAGATGACTGGGTCAGATGACATATAAGCTTGTACCGTTAAGCAGACTGTGTTATGACAAGGACAGTTATTACGACAAACAGATTGTGTTAAATGACAAAGAAGGTTATTACGACAAACAGATTGTGTTAAATGACAAAGAAGGTTATTACGACAAACAGATTGTGTTAAATGACAAAGAAGGTTATTACGACAAACAGATTGTGTTAAATGACAAAGAAGGTTATTACGACAAACAGATTGTGTTAAATGACAAAGAAGGTTATTACGACAAACAGATTGTGGTAAATGACAAAGAAGGTTATTACGACAAACAGATTGTGTTAAATGACAAAGAAGGTTATTACGACAAACAGATTGTGTTAAATGATAAAGAAGGTTATTACGACAAACATATTGTGTTAAATGACAAAGAAGGTTATTACGACAAACAGATTGTGTTAAATGACAAAGAAGGTTATTACGACAAACAGATTGGGTAAAATGAGAAAGAAGGTGATTACGATAAACAACTGTGTTAAATGACAAGGTAGGTTATTACGACAAACAGAATGTGTTAAACGACATATAAGCTTATTCGTCACTTAACATTAATAATGAATAACAAGAAGCAGATCAGTGCGTCAGATAACATTAATAATGAGTTACGGGAAGCAGATCAGTGCATCAGAGGACATAGAAGGTGTGTTACGGAAAGCAAATTAGTGCGTCATATGACATTAATAATCAGTTATTAGAAACAGATCAGTGCGTCATATGACATTAGTGATGAATTAAGGGAAACAGATCAGTGCGTCACATGACATAGATGTTCCGGTTCGGGAAGCGGCGGTATTAGGGAAAGACGTTAGCACTTTGATTGATACAAGTACCCTGGTGTAGTTCTCAGCACGTAGCCATTCTTATGAATATTCCTCAATTACTGGCTCTGTATCTGCTTCCATCAGTCCGCAGCTTCAGCTCCCACGCCTAATTTGGCAACTGAGGCGAGCTGGAGTCGTCCGTCCCAAAGAACACTCTTGCCAATGTAGTAGAGAACGGGATGGAGCAACATTATTGATCATAATCATCTTGTACAGATTCATTTTTCTTCCAGTCAGAGATTACTACGCCGGGGACACTGATACCTCAACCACAGGGAGTATCCCGTCAGTACCCATGCTCACGTGAATCTCAAACTTGAGCCCTTGTATAGTGATTGAAGTATTTCGATAGCCGTAAGTTGTTACCGCTAGCTTCTGAGGATGTGGAGTAATTTGGATCTCCGCGGTCCGCTGAGGTAACACGCCATAAGACAGCGCCTCAGGAGCATCTTGGAATTGGCTTGTCTCTCTTTTACAAATCTTTTAGGACAATGAGCAATTGCAAACCGATCTTTGACAATAGGCAGTAATAAAATCACTGGTTCGTGTATTGAATCCGTGCCTCGTGCCCACGACATCAGAAGCAATACATTTTTACCGTGTTTGCTGTAGTAATCAATCATGTATATGTTTATTGACGTACGGTAAGAATATTGCCTATTCGGTCATAACTGACTGTGTGTATTGCACGAGTTCGTCAATCCAGATTAATGTAAGCGCTTGCTTAAAAGTTTTGGGGATTGCATGTCGAGAACACACCCAAAAAGTCCAACAAAAGTGTCGCATAATATGCATAATAAACATGAGTGAACTGTGGGTATGGTTTTACGCCGCTTTTGGCATATCCCATCAATGTCTTTGCGGGGGAGACAAGAAATGAGCTTTACACATGTGGTTAAGAACAGAACCCGGGCCTTCGGCGTGACGATCGAACGCTTTAACCA